GGGGAGGGGGTGGGCTGGTGGGTGCTTGGGTCTGCTCTGGAGGAGCATGTAGCTGCCCTGGAACAAAGCCTTCAGTCTCCTGGGTAGGGGGGTTGGGAGTAGATATTTGGAAGGGGGTGGGGTAGGAGCAAGTCTGGGGTTGCCTACCTCTGGATCTCTTTATTAGGAGTCTCTTTCTTCCTCTTCCATTGGCTGCATTTGCAGTTATATTTATCACACACACAGACACATTCACACAGAAGGGTTTTATGTTCAGTTTGTATGCGCTCATGTTGGCTGCTGATCCAGCTTTAGGAGAAGGGAGGAGTGGTTGAAAGGAAAACTTGGGGGGGGGCAGCTCACTCACGTGGCAAAGTTCTGCCCTTTGGTGCCACGTGGCCCCCAGAAGCGTGTTTGCTTTTTAGGGTGGTGTATGATGGGAATGAGAGTCAGTAGTGGAAACACACATGCTGGGTCTAACATCCCTCCCCCCTCTTCTCCCACTCCCAAACACTGTTGCTTAATCTCCTTTGTATTGGAAATTAGTTTCCCTATTGAGAGAGGCAGGTGGGCCCCAGACAGAGCCATTAGGTCAGGAGAGGAGAGGAGGTATGTTTCCCGTGGTCTCCGCAAGGGGCCAGAGGGCAAAGATGCATCTCAGGCCACAGGGGGAGAGGGCTGACTTAAGATTCCATTGCAAGTGTAATCCTGGGCAGGCCAGCCCATTCTGCCTTGAGCACCAGGTAGCTAAGCAAAGTTTTAAAACATTGTCAGATCAGCTTGTGCTGGCCAAGCGTGCCTTTGGATCTCTCGCCTTCTGCCTTTCGAGATAAAAATTAAGCTTGTTGGGAGGGGGCATGTGTCCATGTTTCTGGTGGAGGCGGACTGAGAGAGAGCTTACTCATGCATGCCCGCCCCCCCCTCCCCAGGTCGTACGGTAGTGAAGCCCATTGTCCCTTGGGATTCAGAGGATTCTCAGGAGGAGTTCCCAGCCCCTTGGGAAGTCATTCTAGGGGCCACAGAGACGGCCGAGCAAGATTCCCTGCTGCAGCGCAAGTCGGCGAGGCGCTGCGTCAAGCAGAGGCCCTCCTATGACATATTTGAATCCTCCGACTCCGACGCAGAGCCTGTGTCTGGCTCGGCCACGCATCGCCGGAAATCTTCCCGGGACTCAGGTAAGATGCGAGCTTTGAGACTGTTTTGCAGGGGTGGGGGATTTCCCCCCCACAAGTCCCGCCTTCAGCTGAGCCTGTGTTTGACTGTCCGGCACCTGTGCTGTGGCACTGGGCCCAGGTATGGCCTCCTAGCAAGCACGCCTGTGGCGGATCTCACCAATTACGTGGTCGCTGCGCTAGGCTTGGATTCAGACTCCTTTGGGAGACAGGGCGGCTCTTCCTGTGACATGAGACAAGGATCCACTTCACACCCTCTTGGGGGATTGGCGTCAGCTGGATGGGAAAGAGATGCTTGTTGACCCGTCATTCTCTCCGCCGTTTCCCCCCCCACCCATGGACTCCGAGGAGCAGAGCAGACCCCGCAGAACACCTCTCCAGCCGGTGGTGCAGCTGAAGGCCCGGAAGAGGCCAGAGAAGGTGCGGCTACAGCAAGGGAGGGGCAGGGTCTTATCCTAGTAGAGCATTAAGTGGGCTTCCATGCTGCAACTTTATTGTGGCGTATAGGAAGTTTTGAAATGGGACGAGACTGTACCTGGGATGGAAAAGGATCCATCCCAGGAATTTGGTGGTAAAAGGGTTCAAACCTGCCTTGTGCCCTTCAACTAGCGCTGTGTCTTTGGACAGAGGTGGTGGCTGGTTTTACACCAGAGTCTGAGCAGAATTCCGTAGGGAGGCTTCCCTCAAAGGCTTCTTGATGTGATTTCTAGGCTGTTCGGGCTTTATTTGGCAGTTCAGTTCTATCTTGAAATTCTATCCTACTCTTCCTCCCAGGAGCTCGGGGCTCTGCCCTTTCTGTGCCATCCTCACAACATTTCTGTGATGTAGGCAAGGCTTAAGAGAGTGACTGACCCAGTTCCATGCAGTGAACTTCACAGAGGAGTGGGGGATTTGAATCTGGGTCTCTCTCAGCCCCACCTACCTCAAAGGGTTTCTGCTGTGGGGAAGGGAAGGGAAAGGAGTTTGTAAACCGCTCTGAGACACCTTTGGGTAGTGAAAGGCGGGGTATAAATCCAATCTCTTCTTCTTCTCTTCTTCTTCTTCTAAGGAGATTTTTTTTAGTTACTGTGGTCAGCATGTTCTGTCTTTGTACATAAGACTTGGGAGCACAAGGAAAGTAGCATAACAAGTGCTGTAAAAATGCAAAAGTTAAGCAGAAATCCCATTTCCTCACCCGATGGACTTGGGAGCTCCTGTCCCTTCAGGGGGCAAAGCCGCTTGTCGCGTCTCCCGCTTTTACGCTCTCATTACACAGAATGTTTTGCAACAATCCATTTTACCCTCACCCCTTCTTTCATTGTCCTCTGTCAGGATGTCTCCTCTTCCGGCACCCTCCCGTCCATCTCCAATGGCTGGAATGGGAAGCAGAAATCTACGGACGGCGTCCACCGGCTCAGAGTGGATTTCAAGGTAAGGGAAGAGTGTCCGGCTGCAAGGCAGCCTCTGGAACCACCCTGACATTTAGCCCCAAATAAGCTCTTTAGAAACTGGCAGGCAACTGGACCGCATCTCCCCCCCCCCCCCCAATTCTGGAAACAAACAAACCCAGCCACAGATAAAAATCCTGTTAAATCCGGCTTGGTGCTAGGGTTGCCAACCCCCAGGTGGTAGCTGAAGCTCTCCCGCTATGACAACTGGTCTCCAGGAGACAGAGATTAGTTCACCTGGAGCCAATGGCCCCTTTGGAAGTTGGGCTCTATGGCCTTATGCCCCATTGAAGTCCCTCCCCTCCCCTCCCCAAAAGCCACCTGCCTCAGACTCCACCCCCT